AAACTGAGTTGAAATACACATAATATAGAATGAACCATTTGAAAGCAAACAATTCAATGGCATTGAGTACATTCATAGTGTTGTGTAATTACCACCTCTTCTAGCTCCAGAAGTTTCATTTCCCCTAAGGAAACCTGTCTCAGCTGAGCAGCCACTCCCCATTTCCCTTTCCTCCTAGATTCTGGCAGCCGCCAACCTGCTTTCTGTCTCTGTGGCTTTACCTGTTTTGCGTATTTCATATAAATGGAATCATACGACATGTGACCTTTTTTGTGTCTGGCTGGCTTGTTTCATTCACTATGATTAAATTTTAACTAACTGTTTAAAAATCCAGATTTATCTATGTTAAACCACAGGTAAATACTGTTGCCTGACTGTCTTCTCATGAAATCGTCCCTTGTTTTAAAGTTGGTGGTAATATTCCTAGTATCACAGCCAGTTCATTAGTCTTCCTCTATCACCAAACAGTAGTGTTAGCTTCTTCTTTTAATTTGGGGTATGACAGTTTTACTCACTGGTAACTTTCCCACTTAGAATTGTTCCTTTTTTGAATACTTGATAAAGGTGTGTTTCTGAACATGGAGATACCATTGGAAGCTACAAAACCATAATTTCATTCCTCAGGAGGTTTACTAACTTCTCTTTCACCAGCAGATATGAACCATGCAGGACCTGAGAAATCGAGCTCTAATGGTCATCTGTTTGCTAACTACTACGAACAGATGACTTTGGGCTTGGAGGGATTCTAAGCCCCTGCTCATTAGTAGTCAGTAAAATCTGGATGTGGTATGCATTCTGAGTAAGACCGGAGCAGATGAACAAGAGAGGGTTGCTTGTGCAGGTGTGAAGACTGGGTACAACAACATCGAGAAGTTTAAATTTATATCTGTGATTTTTCTGGCCCATTATTCCAAAAATATCAGTTGGCAAATGTTGCTAGCATTGTCATTAGGTTTATTATAATGCGACCTATGATCTGAATAAATGGAAAGCTTTTTTCCAACATAGCAAAACTATGGTCTACTTCTTATTTGGGGGCCCTTTAATATCATCATTACGTGTATATTAGGCATTTCATTGCTTGTGGTACTTGACTCTGTCTCTGCCTCTGGGAACTTTACAAACTTAAGACGAACATAACTGTAGAGTGTTTTTTGTTTGTTTGCTTGTTTTTAAGATTTTATTGGGAAATTGGGAGGGGAACAGTGTTGGGGAATTGGGGAAGGGAAACAGCCAAGTTGTTGTCCTTCAATCTTAGTTGTGGAGGGTGCAGCTAGCTCAGCTCCAAAGTCCAGTCGCCATCTGGCCACCCATCAGCAGCTCAGGGCAGCTCAGGCTCAAGGTGCCAGAGTTCAGTCTTAGTTGCAGGTGGGCATAGCCACCATCCCATGCGGGAGTCAAACCAGCAGCCTCATTAAGAGTGCATGCTCTGAGCCTGCCGAATGGCTCAGTTGGTTAAGAGCGCAAGCTCTGAGCAACAGGGTTGCCAGTTCGATTCCCACATGGGACAGCTGAGCTAGCTGTGCCCTCCACAACTAAGATTGAAGGACAACTTGGCTGTTCCCCTTCCCCAATAAAAACTTTAAAATAAAAAAGAGTGCACACACTATCCACTGAGCCACCCAGGTGGCAGCTCAGCTCAAGGTGCCGAGTTCAGTCTTTAGATGCAAGCGGGCGTAGCCCACCATCTCAAACAGGCAACTTTCTTGTTAGGAGCACGTGCTCTCACCAGCTGAGCCATCCTGCCAACAGCGGCAGCTCAGCTCGGGCGCAGCTCACTGGCCAATGTGGGAATTGAACTGGCGACCCTGTTGCTCAGAGCTCACACTCTTGAGCAAGCTCTTAACCAACTGAGCCACTTGTTCGGCCCCCAAATGTAGAGTTTTGAAAAATAAAACCTCAAACAGATTTTTTCATTATGCTGCATTATGTAGCCATGGAGCTGGTCTCATGACTGATATCGCTGTCCTAAGAAGTACCTCATAACCTTATGCATGTTTTAGTTTTGTATATTTGTAAATCTAAGAGTTGGTTCTAGAACTAGGTGATCAGGTGTAGGTAATATTTGGTTTTGAAAAGCTCAATTACAGTTTGGGGGATATCTTAGTAGGTGATAGAGTCCACCATACCAGTTGTCTCAATCTTTTTCCTGCCTCAAAATACTTGTACATCATAACTTACTCAGTTTATGCTGAGTGATTTTCAACAAAAGCTGTTTGAGGAAAGGCAAGATGGCACTTGTATAATTTGGAAAAGCCCAGTTGAATCTGATATATCTGTATGTTCGATGGTAGCGACTGCAGTATTTCCTAGGGTTTTGGTGGGATTTAAATGAGATAGCACTCAGCACATAAAAGCTCAGTAAAAATTAGCTGGAGTTAGGGTAATCTGCCACCACCTCCACCCTCACCTCCAGCACTATGGATTTGTGAGTGCTTCGTATCCCTGAATGGCCCATAATAGATACTGAGTACATATTAGTTGATAAAATTGAGTTGATACTCAGTACATGTTACTGGGTGAGGACTGTCATTTGTTGGTGCCAAGTATTATTTAATTGATACGAAACAAATGTATTCTCTCATTTAATCCTCTCAACAATCCAGTCAGGTAGATGGCGTGTCATTTTCATAATTCCAATGAAATAATTGCATCTCACAATTTTTTAGTGACAAGCCATGATTAAAAGTCAGGAGTCAGCTCAGATCTCCCCTCTTATCACTACTCCATGCTGCCTCTTCCATCTTGAGGGCGGCATATGAACTTGATTCACTTAGCACTGCCTGGCTTTCCCTGAAAATTGAATAATTTTTCCTCACCATACCCATAAACTTTGCATTATAATAGAAAAACAAAAAAAGGTTAATCTGTATTATGTCTGAAGTACAATTCCTGTTCCTTTATAAACCTAGTTCAAAATGATTTTTCCCCATTTCTGTTAATATCCTGCTTATCAGTCACAGAAGTCGAGGTCACCTTATACCTTTCACTCCCTACTCCTGTCACATGTTGTGTCCATTATCTTTGCACTTAACCCCTCCTCTCTGGTTGTACTGCTCAGTTATCCTAGTGGCATGCTTTCTTGTAGTAGTGATGTTGGTATTTCTGCCTGTAGTGTCTTTCCCTCTCTAGTTCATCTGTGTACTATGACAGAATGAATGGTTTCCTAAGTGATACTCTACATGTCACTTCTATCAAAAAAATCTCGATTGCCCATACCTATCAGGGACAGGAAATTGCTTTCTTGAACACTTTGTGTTATTTTTTTATTTTATTTAGGAAATTGGAGGGATGGGAACAGTGCTGGGGAATTGGGGGAAGGGGAACAGACAAGTCGCTGTCCTTTTGTTCTTCAGTCTAGTTGTGGAGGACGTTGCTTCACTGGCCCAAGTTGGCACCATCATTGCGCTCTTCCCGGGCGAGGCAGATCAGTCGCCGGCTTCTGGACGGCCGCTCACGCTGGCTGCTGGCTACACACGGTAGCCCATGGCAACCCACTGCCACAGGGACTGCAGCCTACGCCGTCATCGGCGACTCATGCAGCCCAGCTCCAGGTTGAGCTGTTGTTCAGCATCTTAGCTGTGGAGGGCAGTGTCATTGGCCCTCATATGTGGGATCTGAACCGGGGCGTCTGGCATCCCAAGCCAGTTCTTAACCATCGCGCCACTCAGCCGGCCCGAACACTTTGTGTTATTGAAGATTGGGTCCAAAACCGTTTCTTGACTCTTATATGTGTTAATACGTTCTGGGCAATGATTTCAAATATGAGTTTTGCTGGTTATGAATTAATTAGTCTTTGTTACTTGGTGTGCAGGAATCACGTGATTCAAATTCTTTGTCTTTTTGTATCTCAGTGATTCTCTAAAGCAAGGGCACTTTCATAGTAGAGTGTCATTTAAGTTTATCAGACATAAAAAACTTGCCTTCATAGTTGGGTATCAGTATATATTTCTCATACGTCTCTTCCAATGATGTCATAGATTTGTGGTGTGGAAACTGGATTCTAATATAGGTCAAAACTGGCATCATTGTAACCACCTTTTCTGAGATGTTGTAAGGGCTTAAAGATATATTTCAGGGATTTTTATATGAAGTCATTTATTTTATTGGTATCAAGTAATTAAAGGATATTGATAACATGTATGATTATAGAATCTTAAAAAGGGCTAATCATAGCTTGCTTGAGCTAGAGCTACCAAGAGAGAATCTAGAGTAGAAATACAGTATATTTGTTGAGCAAAACTTACTAATTTGATCTGTGCTAGGCTACAGATTACTTTTACAATATCTGTGAAGGAAAAATTTATGAAGCCAATTAAGAGAATAAGCATGCTTTTATGAATACATTTCAGTTACTTAAAATGTTTTAATTGGCTGTAATTGGTAGATTTTTTAAAAGTAGGTTAAATCGAGATTTTTCATTTGAAAACCTGAGTTGCCATTGGTCTGAATTTTTTTTTTTTTTAAGATTTTTATTGGGGAATTGGGGGAATGGGAACAGTGCTAGGGAATTGGGGGAAGGGGAACAGACAAGTTGCTATCGTTTTGTTCTTCAATCTAGTTGTGGAGGACGTTGCTTCACCTGCCCAAGTTGGCACCATCATTGCGCTCTTCCCAGGCGAGGCAGATCAGTCGCCAGCTTCTGGACGGCTGCTCACTGCGGCTGCTGGCCACACATGGTAGCCCATGGCAACCCACTGCCACAGGGGCTGCAGCCTACGCCGTCGCCAGCGACTCAAGGCAGCCCAGCTCCAGGTTGAGCTGTTGTTCAGCATCTTAGCTGTAGAGGGCAGTGTCACTGGCCCTCATATGTGGGATCTGAACCGGGGCCGTCTGGCATCCCAAACCAGTTCTTAACCATCGCGCCACTCGGCCGGCCCTGGTCTGAATTTTTGAAGTTTTTGTTGTGTTTCTTACTTTTGCTTTTACTGTTTTTTAAAAAATAAGTAAAATGGATGTATAGATCTTAATTTTTAATAGAACTTATTTCTATTAAACAGCACCTGTGGAACCTTCTCAAGAGGAACAGTCATTGTTGTGTGAAGGTAATTTTCTATGATGTGACTCTCTGACCAACTAATTTGAGATTATCTATGTCTATGGTGTATAAAGCTAGATATATATTATATCTCAATTTCTTGTCTAGGTTCAAATTCAGCTGTTAGCATGGAACTTTCAGAACCTGTTGGTAAGAAAATTTCTGACCATATTAATACAGTAATAAGAAACTCTTTCACTCTCAGGATTTAAGGTGCAAATGTAAGTGTTATGATTATTGTAATGCCTGCATTTAAAACTGACATTGAGTCTTTGCTCTTAAGATTTAGAAAGCAGAACTAATTGGGCATTAATAGTGCCATGATAAATTTAATGATCGCAAATATAAAAGAATTGAGTGGAGGAATGTTAAAGTCAGTTTAAATAGTTGTCCCTGTTACATTTATTTGTGAAAAATTTTCTTCTCTTTTGTAACTTTATTACTCTTAAGCGTTTTTCATATTCCCAAGGCGATTAATAAAGTTGATGGCAGAGTTGTTACTTGCAGAGGAAAAAGAAAATATGTTCTAAATCCTTTCACACTTTTTCTGTGTTCTGATGTGAAACTTTCCCTTTTTTCCACTGTCGGCATCTGAAAACTGGGATAACAGGACTGTTAGGAATGTTAGAGCTCCTGCTTATATGTTGTTTGTCCTTATGACAAGGAGGCTTTGTTAAAATAGCAATCTCTTGTAGTCTGTGTCAGAGCTCTGATGTCAGCAGCAAGGCCAGCCTGAAAGCTATTATTATCCATTTCTGTTGTGAAAGGTTTTCTTGCTTATGTGTCACTAGACATTAGGAAATGGAGTTAAGTGTGCAAAGTTGCATTTGTTGTTTGAAAGCGTCTGTGTTTTAAAGTAAAGATTATAAATCTTTTTTAGAATACTAAGTTAAAATGTCTTATTTCAGTAGAAAATGGAGAGACAGAAATGTCCCCAGAAGAATCATGGGAGCACAAAGAAGAAATAAGTGAAGCAGAGTCAGGGGGTGGTTCCTTGGGAGATGGAAGGCCTCCAGAAGAAAATGCCCAAGAAATGATGGAGGAGGAAGAGGAAATACCCAAACCTAAATCTGTGGTTGCACCGCCAGGTGCTCCTAAAAAAGAACATGTAAATGTAGTATTCATTGGGCATGTAGGTAAGTTACACTCATAGCCACGGTGAGAAATGACCAGTTATTGGGCACATCACACATAAAGCATCTTATTTGGTTCCTTGGAGATGTTTAGGGAAACGAAACTGAATTAATCCAAATGGTCTTGATTTTTGACTTGCTAGATTTTTTTAGCTGGCAGAAAATTGCTAGTACTTTGTTCCTGAAGATTGTGCAGATTAACAATTTTGTAATGTCATGGAAGCTGGAAGAAAATAAGCTTCAGTATATTTGCATATAATGCATAATTAGTCTATAGTACACTGATGCTGGCTCAGCATATTATATCTGTTAATATCCTAGGAAATGTGCCTGTTTTTTTGTGTGAACTTAATTTGTTCATTTTATGGGATTAACCGTACTAGGTAGTTTAATTTTGTGTGATGTAAGAAATGAATAAATTAGAGTCAGGTTGCTAATTTAGCATGTGTGCGCACACACACAAACCATTTGCTTTACTCAGATATTCCCTAATCATCTGCCCTATCCCCAAAATTGTAAAGAGAAAATACAGAATTATGTGACCTTTTTTCTTCCCTTTATCTCTGCCTTGCCTGGAATATGATGACAGGCCATTCTACATTTTTAGTAGCAAGAACCCCTTTGAAATTTGTAAAGGAACACCTGTCTCTTTGCTAAAGGTGGAAGGCAGACTACCTAAAGTAGTCACAGCTCCTAGGCTACTTTCGCTCTCCTCTGAGGCTCCCCTTGGGTAATTTATAGTCTTTTGCTGTTGTGCTCTTAGCTGAAGGTCAGGGAGCAATCTGTTCAAAAATTCTTTTGTTCTTTATCACTAAAGCAGTTCTAAATCATTATGGAGCTATAGGGGGACTTAGCTTCATTTTCCAAGGGAGAAAGTAACTAACCAGGGCTTACACCCTAGATTTCTTTAATTTCATTTGCTTTTGCAAGATTTAATTATATATAGTAAACCATATCTTTAGTTGTGTTAGTGTATATAGCGGTTGGTTTTTGAAAATATTTTTGACACCTACGCTTTGCATGTTGTTGATGATGTTGTTACTTTTAGATGCTGGCAAGTCAACCATCGGAGGGCAGATCATGTAAGTCTGTATTTTTTGTTAAATAATAATTAACTCGATTGAAGGAATTTCAGGCATTGTAAACATTCATAAAATCATACAAAGGACATAAAACAGGTCACCCCAAGTTAAGGGAAATTAATAATAAAATGACATTAATTGTAGGGAAGGCTGATATTAAGGAGTAATTTTTATAATGTGATCATTGTTAGTATTTTCTGATGGATTGTAGGCTTTCACTAAAATTGTTTTGTTAGCACTGTCAGACTGTCATGTAACATTAAATATATTGGGTTGTCAGAAAAGTCATGATGCATTTTTGCAACGAAAAACGGAAAAAATACGTCATGACTTTTTCGACAACACAATAGTTCTGAAAGCTGTCTTTTATGTTTTTTATAAAAACTAACATAGAACCGAAATTTATAGGAAATCTTAGTCTTTGAACATAATTTTCTCAGGAATACTGAAAACCAGCTATTGAATCTTGTGCATGGGGGAACTGGTTTTTCCTCATTCACCAACTCAAGTTTAAGTGGATTTAACCAAAGACAGGTAGTCTGGCCAACATACTACGATGATTTTTTTATCATATTATAGAAGCTATCAAGGTATGAAAACACCATGATTGGCCTTCAGTAATATATATTCTAGTATTGAAAAATCTTTTTAATTAAAAGTTCCTAAATATTTAATCACTTCTAAATGAGACCCATTTCTTTAAACAGTGTCATCAGAGAATCTAGAAGGGCATATCACCACTGTCTTGCCTTGTTAAGTAATCTTAATTGGTGATCTTGTCAATTTTCACTTCTGAAGATTTCCCCAACAGACCCTATAACAGGCTAGTAAATAGGGACCCTTACCTAAGGCTCTGTGGATGCATGCGTCTGGACCATTTGATGCTGTGTTATAGGTGAATGTGTATTTTTTGCTTAAGGGCTATAATTTTCATTGGTATTTCAGTGGGATTCTACATTTAAATGGTTAGAAACATGCACTATAGATGACTGACTGCACAGAAAACACAGAGGTGAAAGCCAGAACTGGAATTACTAAGGAATTATTTTAAAATAATTTCACTTTGAAGAATATTTTTTAAATATTAAATATCAAACTGTATTAGTAAGACTTAATTGCCTGGACAACATTATTGGAATCATTTTCTTTTATAAAGTGTTTACTTTTGCTTTTTAAAAAACTTTTATTCTGCAATAATTTTAGACTTACAGAAAGGTTGCAAAAACAATACAGAGTTCCCATATACCTTTCATTCAGCCTTCCCTGATGATAACATCTTACATTAACCATACTACAATCATCAAAACTAAGAAGTTAACATTGCTACACTACTATTAATTGAGCTATAGATGTTACTTGAATTTCACCAGTTTATGCACTGTTATTTTTCTGTTCAAGAATTCCATATTGCATTTAGTTGTTTTGTCTCCTTCTTCTCCAATTTGCAACATTTCCTCAATCTTATCTTTCACGACCATAATTTGAAGAATGCTGTTTGCTTATTGGATATTCTTCAATTTGGGTTGACTGATGTTTTTTACAGTTAGATTGAGGTTATTCATTTCAGGCAAGAATATCACAGAAGATATGTTGTACTCTTCTCAGGGCATCCTTTTCGGGGTAAATGATGTCAATATTCAGTATTTTATTTATTATTGGTAATATTAGCCATAATCACTTGGTTAAGGTGCTCATTACCAGGATTCTCTATTGTAAGGTTATTATTTTTTCCTCTTATTTTGCGGGAGTTAATTTGAGACTATGCAAATATCTTTCTACTTAAACTTGCCTAATTTAAGCATCCCCCAGAGGTATGTACCTTTAAAGGTAAAGTACCTTTACTTGAAAATAGCTGTTTTCTGGAGTTTAAATCCCCCCCCCCCGAGGCCTTTAAAGTTTTCCTAATTTCATTGAGTAATTGTTCACTTCTTTTTTTTTTTTTTAAACATTTTCAGGTATTTGACTGGAATGGTTGACAAAAGGACACTTGAGAAATATGAAAGAGAAGCTAAAGAAAAGAACAGAGAAACTTGGTATATAGTAAACTTTTATGACCCTATAAATTACTTTTAAAGAAACGCTGCTCATTAAATACTTTTGTAGTCTACTAAAAATTCTTGGTGTCTAAAATGGTGTCTTAACAAAGGAAAAGTTTCCTTTCCCTTCATACTACACAGTAGATCATTTCCTGATAACTTCAAAAGTCACAGAGAAATTTGGAAACATGCAGTAACAGGAAATTTGTTGAATAAATTATAAACCATTCATTTAATCAAGCCATTACCTAACCACTTAAAAATTGCATTTATAGACTTTATAGTAACCAGCACTAGTTAGGGGAGAAGGCAGGAAACATAATAGTACTTAGGATATGATCATTATATAAATAAACACTAGAAAGAAAAAGGAACGGAAGGAATTATTAACAGTGGTTGCCTTGACTGGTAAGAGAAAAGGTCAACTTTTTTCTGTTTTCTAACCTTATCTATTTTATTTTTAAAAAGTTAACAAGTTTTATCCGAATGGGACATCGATTGTTTTTTTTTATTATATTGTTCTATTAAGGGGAAAAATCCTAATAACGTTATACTAAAAAGTGGATTACATACAGAGAAATACAGATGAGGCAATCTAAATTAACACTATTATGGATGATTTGAACTTATATAAGTAATTTTTACATGGCAAAGTAATATTGAAATAGTTTTTAGCAAATAACTATTGCTCCCAAATACCAGGTTAGTAGTCTTCAGTTTTGAAAATATCCTTAGACACATTATTTGTATTATACTTTGTGCCAGGTGGTTATGAAAATGAAATATAAAGGAACTTATTACTTAACTCATGGTGATAATGGCATTGGTACTAACTAGTCTTCCTGTGTGTGTTGCCAGCTTATTTTATTAAATACTGTTTGCGTCTAGAAAATATAGTTGACGATATATGTTGGAATTACAATAACACAAGTTTTTTGTTTGTTTGTTTGTTTTTAAGCTGAGCCATCCTGCTACCTGTTGGCAGCTCAGCGGCTGCTCAGCTCGGGCTGGACTCGAACCACTGTTGCTCAGAGCTCAAACTCTTGAGCGAGCTCTTAACCAACTGAGCCACTCGGCCGGCCCACAATAACACAAGTTTTAGTCAATTGATTTTCGTTTCTTCCCAGTCCTGTTCCTGATTTAAATGTTGTATAATGAACATAAAGCTGGATGTCATCGATTACACCTTTAATAGTAGAAGCATATCTTTAAAATTCTCGTGTTCTTATCAATATTACTCTTATTTTTAAATTATTTCAGGTACTTGTCATGGGCCTTAGATACAAATCAGGAAGAACGAGACAAGGGTAAAACAGTAGAAGTGGGTCGTGCCTACTTCGAAACAGAAAAAAAGCATTTCACAATTCTAGATGCCCCTGGCCACAAGAGTTTTGTCCCAAATATGATTGGTGGTGCGTCTCAAGCTGATCTGGCTGTACTGGTAAGAAAGACATTTCCAGTTCAACTTTGTATTTGTTAAGCAGCCCCACTGAAAATTTAAATATCTAAATTTACCTTCTAAAAGCTAGAATTTAGGTTGCGGTGAACTGTAATATACATAGCCACAACTTTCACTTTTGTCTCACTCATCTGTTCAAGAAATCTTTATCATTCGATTTACTTACGAAAATATGTTTCAACTTTCTTCTACCATTGCTGTTACCTACTACTGTGTCTGAACTTAGTATCCACTAAATGCCAAGTCTACCAATAGGTACTGAGTACAAAAAGGAGTAAGAAATGATGTTTTCTTGATGCCCTCTGTCATTTTACAGTTTTTATTTTTCTTTTGGTCAGTGTACTGGCACCTAGTCACATACATGATTGAATTGTGAAATATATAGGCATACTAAACTTTGGAAAACTGGGGGGTCAGAAGAAACATTTACTGAAATCTTAAACCATTTAGACACTGTTGGTGATACTCAAAAGTATGTTTGTTATAAACATTCTTGTAGAAAGTTTCTGGTAAAACTTAAAGGAAAGTTTTACTGCTAGAAGGGTATGCCTGAATGTATAAGAATAAAGTATTTGATTTCTTGGACTAGGTAATCTCTGCAAGGAAAGGAGAGTTTGAAACTGGATTTGAAAAAGGAGGACAGACAAGAGAACATGCAATGTTGGCAAAGACTGCAGGTGTCAAACACTTAATTGTGCTTATTAATAAGATGGATGACCCAACAGTGAATTGGAGCAACGAGAGGTAAGCTCAGATGTCTTACTGGGTTTTGATAGACATGTTAGTGGAATAAAGGATGGTTTTGTTATTGTATGCTTTTTACCCCTGGAGTTTTTCTAAACTTAATTTGTTTAATGATGAAACTAGAGTTCATTATACTTTACATTATACTTGAGTTATTTTACATTGTATATATATGTATATATATATGTATATATACATATATATATATATACTTGAGAAACTTTACATTATAATTGAGTTATTTACAAATATTCATAGATACGAAGAATGTAAAGAGAAACTAGTGCCATTTTTGAAAAAAGTTGGCTTCAATCCCAAAAAGGACATCCACTTTATGCCCTGCTCGGGACTGACTGGAGCGAATCTTAAAGAGCAGTCAGATTTCTGTCCTTGGTACATGTAAGTAACCTTTTTTCCTTTAAAAAACAGTTTATGTCTTAATAATTTAAGAAAATATTGACTATAAACATGGCTTTAAAAACCACCAGGATATTTATACGTTGGTTGAGAAGAGTGGATGGGTAGAATGAAAATTGTGATAACCACATTTTCTGTATAAGTTAGTCATGTAACTTCTTAAAATTTTGATATTTATGTTGACTCTCTTTAATGGCTATTGTTATGTTCTCAGTGGATTACCATTTATTCCATATCTGGATAATTTGCCAAACTTCAATAGATCAGTTGATGGACCAATCAGGCTGCCGATTGTGGATAAGTACAAGGTACCCATAATGTTCAAGAAATTGGGTTTTTTGGGTGGTGAAATGTTGTGTTTTGTTTTAAATTATGAAACAACTTTAATAACATAACACAGCTGTCTCTTTTTAATGGCTATATATTACTTAGTGATATAGATAGACCATAATTTACTCAACCAGCTTAAATTATTTCAGCAGTTTCCCAGTGAATCAACAATGATTATGTTTTAGAGAGAAACTCATACAAGTGAAACTGCTGGACTCAAAGGATTTGCACATTAAAGTTGATGCATACTGCCAATAGATTTCCAAAATACTGTGCTAACTTACTGCCACCAGCAGTATGTGAGTGCTCATTTGACCATAGCCTCACCAACACTGAATGTCAGTGTTGAAAAAAATAGTTGTCATTATTTTTTGCTGGATTTTCAACTTTTTTTTGTTTAGGTTTTGTATATCAATGTATAATGTTTTGCCGCCCTCAAATACTTTATTCTTTCATTAGCTCCATGCTAAATTTATTGAACAAGTTTTGTTTTACCAATTTTAAACATGAGGAAGCAGGCTCAGAGATTGTGAGAACCTGAATTTGAACAAATAGTTCATATCTTCAAACATAAAATTCTATGCTGTCTCCTGCACAATGCTTTCTTTTTAAACCTCAGGCATACTTATTAGTAGTATTATAATTGTGCATATGCTTATGACACAAATTAGAGTATTTGTTAACTATCCTATATTTAAGATTAATTTTAAGCATGCTACCGCTTGACCTAGTGATTTTCTTTTGTGAGTAAGGCCACAAGATTTCACTTTGGGTTGTTGAACTGTTGTGGAGTGGTAATATAAATCTGAGACTTGATTATTCATTTTAAATTTTGATAGGATATGGGCACGGTGGTCCTGGGAAAGCTGGAATCGGGGTCTATTTGTAAAGGCCAGCAGCTTGTGATGATGCCAAACAAGGTGAGAATTAGTGATGCTCATTCCCAGTTAAGTTTCCTCTTGAAAATGCTAGCAAGGAGCCAGAACTTGTAAAAAGCTCAGGGATTTCCATTAAAAGTGACTTAATTTTTTAAATCCAGGATTACATTTTACTAATGTCGGGTACAAAATTTAAGAAAGAGTATGTGGTGTTATTCAGTAACAGATGGGGAGAGGTCATTGTTAACACCATGTTAGAGCTAAAACATGCCCCAAGAGAACTTCAAGTCCGTTCTTGTACAAGCAGCAGAGATCTGGAGTGCTTAAGTGAGTCGTTTCCGCTAACACACTGGTGGATTAGTCAGTGGCCTGGGATGAAAACTCAGTTTTAATCACGATGTAGTTACCTTTCTTTCTCTTTTTTTGGATACTATAAAATAATGTGTCTAAGCTATGTTCCTAATTTGTTTTAAGAGAAAAGGATTTGCCTTTATCATAAATGGGTTTTTTAATGCTTTACTACCTTACTGTGATTTCTTCATCATTGCAGAGGGTTTTATGAAAACGTGCAAAATCTCCATGAATTATTCCTTTGTCTTATTTCTGACTGCTCACTTGGTGATATTTGGAGATGACATGTTACTAAGAAACTGTTACCTGTTTTATAGAGAGGGCTTCTCTAACAACTCCAAAGATGTTGCTTATATAGGAAAACAGACCTGAATCATCAGAACCTTCAGGACTGTAGATTTCAGTGAGATTTTCAAGTTCAAGCACAGTGAATTAGAAAACATACCCACTATTAGTGTAATGTTTAGGTATAATGGGCACCGTACAAATTATACTTTGGAGTTTCTTGATACCTTATGCATCAGAGATTAGAGTACCCTGCCATGATATCTTTGTTCTAAAGTGTTTCTGCTTTAAAAGCCTACTTTTTCTAAGGTAATTAACTCTGCAACTTGAAGGTCAATAACAACTGAATGAAAATAATGGGTCAGTTTGAAACCTGTTCAGTTTTGTCTGTAGAGCAGTCACAGAAGTGCAGTTTGCTCCATGGAGATGGAAGGGGGGTTGGGGTTGCAAGAGGTTGAGGGAGGGAGACGGTGGGGGTTCCTTTTGGAGTGATGATGTTTTGGAACTAGATAGTGGTGATGGTTATACAACATTATGAATATTAGATGCCACTGAATTGTACAGTGTACAATGATTTCAAAAGATAAGTTTTATGATGAGTTTTTACTGAAATAGAAGTACAATTCAGTATAGGCAAGCAAACAGTGTGGGGGCTGTAACTGTAGTGATAGTTAACATACTATTGGGTTGTTGGAAAATTCATGACGTATTTTTTTCTGTTTTTTATTGCAAAAATGTGTCATGACTTTTCCTACAACCCAATAGTTACAGACAAAGTGGCTGTTCTCTGTGGAAGCTGTCACTTTATACTAATTACTGGGTAGGTGTCGTATATCCCGTGGTTAAGGTCACTTTAGTCCTGAGTCTCTGGAACAGAGTTAAATATTTTAAAAGATACAGATACCAGATTATTTTACATTTGAAAATCAATGGGTAGGCAACATATGGAATGGGAAAAATAACTGCATATCATAAATCTGATAAGAGGTTAATATGCAGAATATATAAAGAACTTACAACTCAACAACAAAAAAACATGAACAAAGGATTTAAATAGCCTTTTCTCCAGTGAAGATGTACAAATGGCCAAAAAGCACATGAAAAATGCTCAATGTCACTAATCATTAGGGAAATGCAAATAAAAACCGAAATGAGGTAACACTTCATACCCATCAGGATGGCTGCTATGAAAAAAACAAAATAATAAATGTTGGCGAGGATGTGAAAAAATTAGAATCTTTGTGCACTGTTGATGGGAATGTAAAATTGTTAGTTACTGTGGAAAACAGTATGGCAGTTCCATAAGAAATTAAGAATAGAATTGCCGGTATAATCTAGCAGTTCCACTTCTGGGTATATATCCCCCCAAATGGAAAGTAGGTCTTCATAGAGATATTTGTACACCCATTTTCATAACAGCATTGTTCACAATAGCCAAAAGGTAGGTGGAAGCAAGTGCCATTCATCAATGGATGAATGGAATGGATAAGCAAAATGTACATACATACAGTAGAATATTATTCAGTCTTAGAAAAGAAGGAAATTCTGACACATGCTACAGCATGGATGAACCCTAAGGACATTATACTAAGTGAAACAAGCCAGTAACAAAAGAACGCATACTGCATGATTCCACTTCTATCAGGTACCTAAAGTGGTAAAATACCATACAGACAGAAAGGAGAATGGTGGTTTCCAGGCTGGGGGAGGAGGAATGGGGAGTTGTTTAATGGTATCGAGTTTAAATTTTCCAAGATGAAAAGAATTCAGAGTTCTGAAGACTGATTGCATAGCAACGTATATTCAGTACTACTGGACTGACAATTAAGAATGTTTAAGATAGTAAATTCTATATTCTACCACAGTATTTAAAAGTTATTTTAAAAGTTAATGAGTAAAATAAAAAATCTATCACTTTTTACTTTGATATTTTGCAAAATTGTTCCAAGGTGCATATTGATGTTGAGACCTTTTCTAGGTTGCTGGCTTGTTAACTCTTGGCTCTTAAAAGTAGTTCTATGGTTCTAATACCTGCATCACCCCTCTACTTCCTGTGTTGGGCTATAGTGGGAAGGTGAAGCAGAAGTGATATTGGAGGATAAAACACTGTCTTGTGTGATGGAATTTCTGAATATTGCTCTGATATTTACAAATTCAGTGGCATTGAGTTTGTATACAGAAACAGAAAAGTTGAGGTAACTAAATCTGCAAGTTTAGTGCGAAGTGGCTTTTTCCCCCCTTCAGTGCAGTATTCTGAATGCTCATTTCTGTGGTGAGATACTCAAGGATATCTATATAAACTTAAAGCTCACACATCATTAGAAATGTGGACTCAAACATTTAGGATTGTATGCTGTATGAATGTCAAACAGCTCACAGACTTGGGTCCAAAACTTTCTGAGTTTGGAACTGAGACAGGGTACCATCCCTCAGTCACCTGAGAAAAGACAGGAGCACCATGAAGAAGAAAGGTACCCCTTTCCTTACAAATGTTACCACGCGCCCCTATCAAATTGCTTCATTGTAGCCTGAAATCACCCCTTGTACAGCTACGTGGGGGATCTCTAGAGAAGATGGAAAAGTTTAGTTATCTTTAACACGTGTCATAAATAAGAGAATTTGTTGGTCTCAACCTTAATTTTTGATAACTGTTGATTAACTTAATTTCATACTAGTGCTCTTGTGTTTAGCCATGAAAAAGGCCATATCTGCAGAGAAGGGATTGTTGTGTTGGATTATTTGGGCAAAAAAAGTAGTAAACAGTACTTGTTTAGTTTGTGTATGGTAGAACTGTTAAGTTTCTACCCCTTTATCCTGTTACTGTAAAAGAATTTACCTAATAAATACTGCTCTGTTTCATTTCTTGAATGAATTTCACTTCTTGAATGAACTTCTTGAAGCTATCATTAAGGTATAAGTTACCTTTTGGGAAAGAAAACCATTAAGTGGGAGAGGGGTAAAGCTACTTAGAGCTTAGCAAATGACAGTTTGTAGAATTCTGATATGGAATATAATGATTCTGCATTCTGCGTCGTCATTTACCATCATGAGATAGCTCATTTTGTCTTGAAGGCTGTGTTGTTTTCTGGTATATGTTTTAAAAATCTAAATTATCTCCAAGGGCAGAAGTGGAGCAAAATAAAGGAATACTTGTGGATATTGCTTTTAACATTTTTCCCATCTATATGTTTTTTAAAGAAATTATTGTGGTAAAAGACAAAATTTACCATTAGTGGCTTTTAGTACATTCACAGTATTATGCAACCAATAGTTTATAACCCCAAAAAGAAACCTTGTACCCATTAAACAGTCAATATGTTTTTTAAGCATAATTGTTCATATTACTTCTGAGAAGTACACTCTTCAGGTATTTGGGTAGTGATAGGTAATGGAAGCTATGTCTATTAAATCCTGGAACTCAGTAATAAAAATTATATCTATAAAATTAAAAACAAATTTAATGTTTTAATTTTGAAAAGTTAAAAAGGCAAATGCTAGATTATCTTGTTTTATTTGGAAATTATTAGGATACGCTATTAAAAGATGACAAATTAATGTTTTAATTGGCAGATGTACTTCTAGGATATGATTTTCATTAAGTTCATGTCATACAAATGTAATAAGTATTTCAGTTCATCAACAAGCACATAAAAATGTGACTTGCAACCACTCAGCAAACAGGTCATTTTATGATCTATAATGCAGTGCATGTGTCAGAAAACCTCCAATCTTGGTTTCTTTTTAAGCACAACGTGGAAGTTCTTGGAATCCTTTCTGATGATGTAGAAACTGATTCTGTAGCCCCAGGTGAAAACCTCAAGATCAGACTGAAAGGAATTGAAGAAGAGGAGATTCTTCCAGGATTCATACTTTGCGATCCTAATAATCTTTGTCATTCTGGACGCACATTTGATGCCCAGGTAAGCCAGTTATTATAGTTCTCTTAGTTATCTTTACTGTCTAAATGAAATTAGAATTTAAATGTTCTTTGCCCTGATTATGGATGGCATGCCATATGATGACATGTGTCACAAGAGCCACGATGTGTATCTCAACAAACGTAAGGTCTTCAAGATGGTACAAGGTCTTACTGGGCTAGGTGGTATTCTTTGTAAGTTCCTTTTTATTTTTGATCTCCTGATGTATTTATCACTACTTATATATTTTGCTCAGTGTCTTTCACCTTAAGTAGAACACATTGCCTTGGAAGTCATAGTTTGCTCATTCAGGGCAAACAGCTTTCCAGACAGGAAAATGTGCACAATTTCTCCATTTTATTAGCAACCTGACCTTCCCAGGAAAGTGACAAGAGTAAATGACTAGTGTAGCTCTCAGAATTGTTGTTGTTACACGGTATGACAACAAATGAAGTTAGATTTTGATGCCAGATACAAGGTTGTTTACTTTTATTCGACCTTGGATATTGAGAAATGGATAAAATTATTATCAGTTCATATCTGCGGGGGGGGGGGGAACCGGGACGACCAGTAGCATATGAGCAGTAATGATTAACTTAATTCCTTGGGAGAAGTATAAAGGAAAGCCTTCCCAGAGAAGAAAGTCGGCCTCCTATGTTTTTAAAGTTTGACTGGGCACTCGCCAAGAAGATCAGTAGGTTAAGGATATCAGAGTTCATGCTTCGAGGTCAGGAAACCTGACCTGTCACTTCTAACACAAAAATAAGTTGGCGTGAGATGGTGAGTTATTCTTGTGATACTATATGCCACTTTAGCACATTCAGTTCTTCTTTTTTAGTGATTAAGATGTGAATTTTTTTGTTTGTTTGACAGATAGTGATTATAGAGCACAAATCCATCATCTGCCCAGGTTATAATGCAGTGCTGCATATTCATACCTGCATTGAGGAAGTCGAAATAACAGTAAGTTTTAAGATAATTGGAATTTTTGTTTGTGTGTTTTAAGACCATTTCATCGTGATAATTTCTGATTGGCAATAGTGATGTACTCTTATTTGCACTCCTATTCTTAATTTAAAGATTCTTTTCTTTGGCATTATTCTTATGTCTTCTCATCCTTTTATCTTGGATAGGCCTTAATTTGCTTGGTAGACAAGAAATCAGGAGAAAAAAGTAAGACTCGACCCCGTTTTGTGAAACAAGATCAAGTATGCATTGCTCGCTTAAGGACAGCAGGAACCATCTGCCTTGAGACCTTTAAAGACTTCCCTCAGATGGGTCGATTTACCTTAAGAGATGAGGGTAAGCCTTAAAATCGATGTCTAGTCGTGTATCTAAAATGCTTAGCTTTGGTAATCTTCATTCAAGTATAGTGCACATTACAGCTAGTTTATAGAGAACTTGGATGCATATTCTATAATATATAGTCATATAATAAGTATGAGTTAAATGAATTGAACAGCAGACAATTAACCATGCATTTTAGCTGTAATGCTCTAGAGGAAAAATTTTGATGTTTGGTAAGTAGTTGGTGTTGAGAATCATTTATTTACTAAATGAGACATTTCTGTGATGAAATCCTTTGTAATATGTGTGATTAAAGCCTATCTTACCCTTTCAAGTTTTTGCTAAGCAAGCCTCTGAGCTTCATGTCAAAAAATGACGTCTTGTCATTTTTATAGTCAGAAGAAATTTTAAAATCAAATATGATAAATTCACTCATGGGATTGGAAATAAAAGGGATACATAGATTGGTAGTCTTTTAACACCTATTTTTAGACGTTTAATATCCATGTTCGTGTGGTGTGTGTGTGTGTGTGTGTGTGTATTTCTGCCTACCTCTGAGTGAATCCTAACAGCTGTAATTTTCCTATCTTGCGGCCATGAAATTCTTTGGTATCGTGAAAACAAACCTGTTATTAAACATTTCTCTATGCATTGTTAACTTAGATGACTAATTTTAAGACTAGAAAATTTTACCTAAAACTTTATGGTTCAGTTGGAATATAGAATAGTCAATTCACATGTTAGCTCCAATTCTATTCAGCAAAAATTAGCTGTATATCTACTGCATGGCAAGAACTTTGTTAAACACTGGGAATATAATGATGAAGGTGGTCCCTGCACCTTAGTTCAGAGAATTCTGGATAAAGATGGTATTCGTTTTATTTAAAAGGCCTTAAATTTTTTTAATTTAAAAACTCTTCTTGGGCCAGCCAAGTGGCTCAGTTAAGAGCTCACTCAAGAGTGCAAGCTCTGAGCAACAGGGTCGCTGGTTGGAATCCCGTCCCGAGCTGAGCTGCCAACAGGTAGCAGGATGGCTCAGCTAAAAAAAAAACAAAAAAAAAAACTCTTCTTGGTGATAGTGAAACTGGTTATTGGGATAAACTGGGTTTGTCCTATTAATATAACAAAATGAGAATTTTAGTTACCAATTATAACCTGATAAAATCAGGTTTTATAGCAAGAATTCTTAACCCCAGGAATTATTTTTCCTAAAGTCTCTTGACTTTTAGGTTTTTCACAAGACAGAGAGAGCCCTTTTTAACAGCTTATCGAAATAATTCACGTAATGTGAAATTGACCTTTTTTAAGTGTACAGTTCAATGAATTTTAGTGTTTACAGAGTTGTACAGTCATCGCATTCTAATTTTAGAACGTTTCGAGTATCTAAAAAAGAAATCCTTATGCCTATTTACAGTCACTCCCTACTCCAACCCCCAGCCCTAGGCAACCACATCATCTTTTTTTCCCTATTGACCTTTTTGACAAGCCATATAAATAGAATCATACAATTTGTGGTCTTTAGTGTTTAGTTTATTTCACTTAGCATGTTTTTGAGGTTGCAGCATGTGTTGTATATTGCCAAATAGTATTCCATTATACCAGTGTCCCACATTTAACTTATCCAAGTAGAGGTGGTTTTTTTTTTTTAAGATTTTATTGAGGAATTGGGGAAGGGGAACAGCCAAGTTGTTGTCCTTCAATCTTAGTTGTGGAGGGCTCAGCAAGCTAAGCTTCAAGTCCAGTCACACTGCTCAGCTCAAGGTGCCGTGTTCAGTTAGTTGCAGGTGGGCGTAGCCACCACCCCATGCGGGAGTTGAACTGGCGACCTTGTTTGTTAGGAGCACGTGCTCTCACCAGCTGAGCCAGCTCAGCTGCAGCTCAGCTTGGGCACAGCTCATTGGCCCACATGGGATTCGAACTGGTGACCCTGTTGCTCAGAGCTCACACTCTTGAGCAAGCTCTTAACCAACTGAGCCACTCGGCCAGCCCCCAATTAGAGGTTTTTGATATAAGAAATCGTGTCTTCTTTTCCGCTCCCCCACTTAAAAGACCCACTTATTTAGACTACCTAATCAAAAAGCATGCCTTCGGTGGTAAAGCCAGTTAATAAGTAATTTACCTTGTAAAAATTACTTTTATGATTTAAAATAATAAGCTTTAATACCTTACATAGCCTTGCTGTCAACTACTGAAAAGGTTTTTTGTTTTTGTTTTTAATTTCATTTTTAGGTAAGACCATTGCAATTGGAAAAGTTCTGAAATTGGTTCCAGAGAAAGACTAAGCATTTTCTTGATGACCCTGCACAATACTGTGAGGAAAATTGACTACAAAAGCCTACTTCACACCGCCTTCTCTTATTTTCTGCCCATTGACAAACCTCTCCCCATATTTTGCAAAGACAACATTCACAGCAAAAGTCCACATGTCGTCAGCTTTCTCATATTGAGAGCTCTGCTATGCCACTATTGAATTTTTCCCACGATTTTTTTCTTCCCCTCTCAAACTGCTTCCTTGGACAGACTTGGCAATAGCTTTGTAAGTGATGTGGACATAATTGCCTACAATAATTAAAACTTACAGAAATTTTTAATTTTTCATTTTCCCCTTAGGCATAGTCTTTTTCGCCCCAGGCAGATCATTCTGAGTGTGCGAGTGTGTGTGCACGTTACAAAGACAATTACCATGTTAATAAAATATTCAATTTGAAACCCTTTTCGGTATTTGAATTGCTTTTGAATAATGTTTTCTATCTGGATGTAATTGTTGCATTAGCTTTTTAACTTTACCAAGTAATTGAATACATTTTATTACTTGGACTTTTCTAAACTCTTTCCCTATTCACTACTTTAAATGAGGCATTTACAAACAACATTCAAGTTTGTATTAAAGGAAAGAATTAGTTTGACCCCTTCATTTGATGGTAATGCATACATACAATCAAATACCTTTATGTAACTGTGACACTGCTTTATTAGGTCTGTCAGTTATTTTCTGCCAATATATATTTTGACATGATTTCTTAATTACAGTAAGTTGTTTTTAAAGAACAGCATACTGTAGTTTTTGTACATAAAGCATAATGAAATTGTACCCCTACAGAAAATTCCATTAATTTGTTAAATGAGTGGAATTAACAATAAAGAAAGCATGTTGAGACCTGGCAAAAATGCCTCCTTCAGAATTTATAAGAGCTGCATGCATCTAGTATGAAAACTGTATCAACTGCAAGTGCCAGTTCTACAGATTACTCAGTTTACTACTTGTATCACTGATTTTAAAGGTTGGATTCCTTGCTGGTTAAAGTTAAATCTCATCCAGCCACTAAATGAATTTAGAGCCATCAGAATCTGCACAAATTAAAGTTAACAGTGATAAGTAGACTCAAGCACAGTGTACGTTTTTCTCAACTATTTGAAATTGACTGTTTTCTTAAAAAGCTGAAATTTGTTAAACTGATTTGGATGAACCACAATGCAGCATTATGGTGATTTTTAGATTAAAGGATAACTTTGAAATTTTTAATGACAATAAATGGGAAATGGAAGAGGCAATTTCTGGGTTTATTGAAAGCCTCTCTTGATTTTGATTTTGAGGGTTGCCATTTATCAAAGACTTGGCTTTTAGATTGTGATTTACCTCTAAATCAGATACTTTGTAATTATATATTTAATGACATGTCCCTTCCCTGTAATCTTTCTCCTCAAAAAAGAAAAGCTTAGTCAAACTATTTCCAGTCACAAAACCTGAAACTTAATTTAACCCTGTTTTCTTAACTGTAGAATTCCCATTCATTTCATTCAGAACGAGGCTACGTCTATGGACAAAAGCAAAGTTACTGTCCTGCAGCTTCCTATAACTGCACTCATGGCCATTAAATTGCATGAAATTTGAATTTTATTTTGCAAATCTCTGGGCTTTTATTTTTCTGGGAAATGTGGGAGCTTTAATCAGTACATAACTCTTCGTACTTCCAAGTTAATAACAAAATATTAGCAATTGCTTGGATTTTAATGAATCTTTAAAGCTCAAGTCATTGAAATTATTTCCAAAGATCGATTTCCATTTTTAAATTCAACATTTTTAAAAACCAGTTATGTTTGCTATGAAAATATTTACACTTTTAGAATATTATGTGCATGTTGCCAACACAGTAAAAGGGCATGGATATCAACTGTGAAGGGCCTTCCTCTAAAAAATAAATGGTAAACATAAATGCAATTGTGAAAGAAAACTTTCATTGATTCTTGCACATTTGTGCAAATAATTAGATTATTTAAAAGAAACCTCACTGTTAAATTAACCAACCCCATATGCTTTATGGGCTTTGAAGTTTTTTGGAGAAGTATTCTCACATAAAATTGCTGCGTTTTAAACTAATTACACTGGCTTTTTACTTGGGTGAGGAAATAAATCTCTGAAATGAACTGGCAGTGTATGGAGATGCTGGACCTTTAAAAAGCAATACAGATTCCTATGCTGTCATTTTTGTCTTCTGCAAGTACAAGTGTGTTTATGTAGCTGACAATGCGAAAACAGGGTAATTGGCTACAGATTTAGGATATTACAGACCTAAAGATTTTTCTCTCTATCTTTAGCACAGATATGTTAGAATCACAATTTTCTTTGCATCTTTTTACTTTAATGATGTTCTTTATACAACTTTCATGCTTGGTTATTTATAGGTTTTTTAATTCATGAACGAATTTAAGATCATTGAAATAAACGTCTAGGTAATTGCCATTTTAAACCCTTATTTAAAGGGGAGGGAAATATAGTACCTACTCCTTGTTTTTATTTGCAAAAAGGACTTACTGGGAAACTGGATAAAATCAAACCAGAAGAATTGGACTGAGCATGTACTGCCATGAACTTACATAATAGTAAAGTTCTTGAATAATTAAGCCCATGTATATTTCTTTGTTTTAAATTGAAAGTCTTGAAATATGTGATAGTTGAATGTAAAAACTTTGTAAATTGTAAGAGTACAGGTTGTTCACTTGTAACAAGGTAATTCATGCTTGTCTGCTAGTTACATAAATTTAAGAAATGATTTACAATATGGGATGGACTTTGAACATGATGCCATTGAACAGTTACCAGCATCCTCTCAGCTGAAATGCTGCAGATATTTTGGGTCATACTTTCAACCAGGTGCAGATTTGCAACCCAAGAAAAAGGTGAACCTATCTCCAGTCAAAAACTGCTTCCATTGATGAACTTTTGAAAAAAATCATCTAAGTCTCTGGCAATCTTCAGGAACACTAGTTATGACTAATTGCTCCGTGATCTTTGATGACTCTTCCACATGACAGTACTCGAGCACCTTTCCTCACTGGCATGGACCTCATGGATTGCTGCTTCACAGATGACTGCTTCATTGCTTTGGGTCGGGATTTAAGGTAGTCAGGGACAAATACAGTTTTACTACAGCTCTTAATTAACATCAGGCAACTTTCAACCTTTAAACCCTTTGTGAAAATTCTGGTTCCAGCACTATAGCTCTGATTGTAGGTTAAGTGTTATATTCAGTGTTGGCCTACCTTATCAGAATAAACTGTGCCATTAATCCTCTCACAGACATGTAAGGTAGATGGCAATAGGATTTAGGGGACGATTTTCTGTCTCCAAATCATATGGCTTTTATTACCTCCAGCAAATTTCATAGCGATTCTAGCAGATGCCATCTAATATTCATGATCTTGTTAAATAAATGTAATTACATAGCACAACTCAAGACTAGATTTAAATTTAGCAATCAGTCGGTTATATTAGATTTCATAGGAATAGGAAATGTTTTTACTTTGCTGTAGTTCAGTGGATTCCACTTGAACCAATTTACTTCCAGAATTCAGATAGGGTAGATTTGGTTCATGAAGCTTGTAATGGTTTTGGCTCTAGGATATTTTTGATTTGCAATATCCTAGAACTTATTAAGTCTCCCCTTCAGTAAATACACTTTCCAAACCCGTAATCCTTTGCTTCCTTCAAACAGTAATATGCTAGCCAAGTTGTTTATTAAGGAATGTTATAAGGGCCCTGGAGGTGCAGGAATGGAGATTAAAACCTTTATGTTCTCCAATATAAGGAAAAAGCAGATAGGCACCATGTCTGACTAGGCAGAAACTTACACAGGATTTCTTAAGCAACCCTTGGAATAATTGTCTTTTCTGTCTGTCACACGTGCCACTGCCATTTACAATTGAACGTGGAAACCTCAGGTTTGTGGGCAGCAAAGGTGAAATGACATTTTGTGCTTCCTGAGGTTCCCCCTCAGCCAGGCACATGAGCTTAATGCTTCAGATGTCAGCCTAAGTCCCTGCTACCTCCTTTCCTGCTGCCCGGGAGAGTATCTGTGCTGGAGCTCCTGCATTCCTCAGGTGATCATCCACATGAATTAGGTAAAACTGAGGTCTGCTCCTGGAAGGTCTGCATTTTATGGGCTCACATTGGGCTCTCAGAAATTGACACACCTTGGTTAGTTTCTCCTTTTTGTTCTAAAGGAAATGTGGATCTCTCAGGCCAGGACCTAGTGACTAGTTTTCACTAGACAGAAGGTTAATACCTAGCTCACACAGGCAGAATTAAAGGGAACTGATTAGGTTTGCTGAGGTATTTTTTAACCTAATTCCAAAGCATGGCAGGATGCGTTAGGTAGGAATTACGGGAATCCAAGGGAAAGAAATCTTTTTCTTATGATTTGTAGCTACCTACTGTGCCTGACTTGGTGCCTGTGTGAGGATTAAGCCCTTGGTCTGATCTTGGAATTATTCAAATGACTGAAGTTTAAAAAATATTTGCTTTTGTAATAATAAAAATTGTCAACTACCCCTTCGAAGGATTTGTCTGTTTATATAATCACCTGTATTGTATCATACCATGAGTATATCTGTCCGTTTTCTGTACAGTCCTTTATTTTTGTATCAAGTACTGGAATCATCTACCAGCAGATTTACTGGGTGGATCTAATAAGCTGTCACATAAGGAATTTGCAAACGTGTGGTCTGCTTGCATATGGTATGCAGGGCCTTTGTACAGTGTATATGACTGAATCTTATAGGAAGTTAGAGATGCTTAATAAATCAAATAACTGTATCACAGTATGTGGTTTTATGGAAACATCAGTGATACTGCCAGAACTACAAACCTCTATGTTCAGGATTTTAAATAGTGATCAAGAGACCAAATAGGACTTGCCCTTCTTTACTGTGCAAGAGCAAGAAGAAATTAGTGATAAACAGACAGTATACACAGTGGTTAACGGATGGCAGCAATCATTCCTGTAGACTCTTTTATTGAGTTAGAATGAGTTCTTTATGTGAAAGGAATCACTTCAAGGTTGTGTTATTTGGTCCCTTGTGGGATATGGTCCCAAATCAATATTTGGCATTAAATGAACCTTGGCTTAAACTAAACTTACGAGCAAGCTTGCTATCAAAGCAGGGGTTCATATAAACTCCTAAATACATGGTTTGACATTTTCCACACTTTTCTATTCTTTAATAACCAGATCTCCAACCCTGTCCACGAAACATTTTGTTCATTGTTGAAAGAGAGACTTCCTTAAACATTGTGTTTGGGCATCAAACCATACACAGGCACTATACTGCAGTGGGTAGGAAACGGACAATAGAGAATTGTATACTTCTTGGCCCATGGAACCAGTTTCAGAGACACAAGTTCTTTATATCCATCCATCTTAAAGCAGAAAAACAGCATCAATTCCTTGGATGCTATAGCTTTTAGTGAAGAACTATATGCCTCTCAGTTTAGAATGATGGCCATTAAAAGTGCACATTCTACCTCGATTTCTTCCCAAGATGTCATAGTACACATATTAATTTTTAAAAAGTAATTCACATACTTGGCTCAACATAGTTATATTTGGTTATCCTGTAACATAATCAGCTCTATTATGACTTCCTGTACTATTCCTTTACAAGCACTATGTTTACTCTGGCAATTATTATAACTCATTTAAATATTACATGGTTAAGCATGATCAGGTTTGATATAATCACATCTGTACTCCAACTGAAGGGCAGGGAATGGACTACAAGATACGAAAGTGGAGATAGGAAGACAACTCAGGAGGCTGTTAGGGGGAAAAATGGCCTGCACTACAAGGTGGAAGGGATAAAAACTGGATAAATACATGAGCAATTTAAAAGGAATAAACAAGCGTTTATTATTGACTAATTTGGGGGATGAGGAGAAAAGAGTTAAGGATGACTCCGGTATTCTGGCTTGGGCAACTAGGCAGTTGATGCCAATGACACAGGAGGAGCAGGTTTGAGGGCAGTTCATGGCTGGAACCGTTGGGTGCGAGGTCCTAATAGGTCTAATACGTCAACACAGTTGATGGGTTTGAAGATGGAGGTCTACAAATTTCTACTATCTTTTCATGGGTAATAAATCATCCCAAAATTCAGTGGCTTAAATAACGTTACCAAGCAAGGGCTCACAGCACACATAGAAGCCAAAACTCTGACATAAGCTTTTGAGAAAAAAGGTTTTATTGTGAAGTCTACCAGCAAGGAGACAGGAGACAAAGCTCAAATCTGTCTCCCGATCCGGAGTTCAGGGTGAGTTTTTTGTTTTTCCTTTAAAAATTTTTTTTCAATCGGTGAGTTTTAAGGGGTTAGGGGAAACAGGCTGGCATGCAAGTGCTGGTGGGCAGGTTTTGATTGGAGAGCTTTGGAGCTTGGCCATTTATGGTAAGATATGGTAAGGGGCTTCAGCACCAGATCTTCCTGGAACAATGGACCCTTCGCTTCTGAAAGGGTTCTGGTGTTCAAGTTCTGGTCAGTCATGTTCCAGTCCTTTGGTTTCGGGAGGTAGAGGGTACTTTGGTTCTGGGAGCAACTGGAGGTCAAAATTGTCTCTGCGCATGCCTCAGCTGCATGACCTGTGGTTTTGGTTTGCTGTGTCTGAAAAGCAACTCGGTATCTTGTTAGAAATAGGATAGAGCCAGTTTGAGATGGTTCTACAGTTACGATCACAGTTTTTATGAGTCAGGAATCTGGAAACAGCTTGGCTAGATGGTTCTGGCTCAGGGTCTCTCAAGATTGCAATCATCTCAAGGTTTGATTGGGGAGGAACCGCTTCCAAGCTCGCTCAAGTGGTTGCTGGCAGGCTGCCTGAGTAGCCTCAGAACATGGTAGCCGACTTCAGCCAGAGCAAGTAATATGAATGAAAGAAAGAGAATGGGAGGAAGAGAGGAGGGCAAAAGAATACTCAGGGTGGAAACCATAGTCTTTTTATGACCTACCCTCGGAAGTGACATCCTATCACTTCTGCCATATTCTCTTTGATAGAAGTTAAGTCCCTAAGTCCAGCCCACACGCAAGTGGAAGGGAATGAAGGTCCATCACTTCAGTATTAAAGAATTTGTGGGCATATGACATTTTTTAAACCATCCCAATACCACACTCGGATTAACTTTATAAAGCATAATTTTATCACTACTTGCTCCTCTTCCCTAGCACCAGTTCAAAAACCTTCTATCTGTATGATTTCTCCAAAGTATAAACCCTCAGCTTGGTAATCAATTCCTTAACCTACCATTCTAGTCTTGTCTGCCACTCCTCCTCTGTGCACATCCCTGATCCAGCCACTTACTACTCCCAAACACTCCGTGCTCTTTCACCTGAGTTCACGCCATTCCCTTGGCCTAGCAGTCTGGTTCTCAAACTTGAATGCAGGTGACACATCTGACAGCCCTAATGCTCTTCACAATACTAGAAAACAGTGATACAAGAAGCCTAATGTAACAATTCATAATCTTGTGCTAAAATTAATCTAAGACTAGATTCTAGAATAGACAAGTGGGAGTAGATACCAAAGATTTAAGAACGTCTCTTCTCCAAATTGATCAAAGACACAGTCATTAGTAGAGGTCAGCAGCAGGCGTTCCCCTTTCTCCAGCTTGGGCAATATGGAAGGTGCACTTTCTGAAAACAACTGACAGGGAAAGCCTCCTACTCCCAATTTTTCCTCTCTCAACAGTTTCCGTAGCTAGTTGCAAAAAGACTAGAACCATCCTGAATGTCCATCAAAAATCTCCGAAATAAACTGTTGTTTATCTACGTGGTAAAAGGCCATTACCTTAGGCCGTTAAAAAAGATGAGGCAAAGACTATGTACTGACTTGGACAACTTCCAAGATATAGGAGGAGGAAAAGTCAACGTACAGAACAACGGGTATACTAGACTACTATTTGTGTTAAAAAAAAAAAAGATTAAATTTAAACCCAATCATCCATTAAGAGGAAAAAGCATAACTAGTCCCTAAACATGCCTAGAACATCCCTGGAAAGGTCCGGGGGGAAACAGTGGTCACCTCTGGGGATGTGAGGCAGCAGGGAGGCTGTCCAGCGTAGTCCAGCCTGCACGTTTACGTTCATATGCTCTTACCTCCCGCCTCTGTGAGACCCTGGCTCTGGCTCCTCGTTCGGGCCCACAACACCGCGTAACGACGTGTCTGGTGTTTCCATTGCCTGAGTCCACAGAATCCTCACCAGCTGCGGGGAGGTTCGCGCCACCCTGGCGTGCGACTAGACAGTGGCTGGGCAGCGTAGGTGGTTCGCCCCAAGTCACCCAGCACTTAGGTGGCGGGGCCAGGACTCCCCGCTCTCCCCCACGCCACACGCGGCCTGCCCAAAGGCGGGGTCCACCGAGGGCGGGTGACCCCACTGGGTGAGTGGACAAGGCCTCCTCTCCCTCCTCCAGGCGCTTGCTCGTGGAAGAGCGACGGCGAGACGTCACCAGGTTGCTCCCCGCGCCTCACGGAATCCCGGAGCAAAAAGGAAGCACAGATGTTGCCGTTGCCCTAAGGGAGAGACTCAGACTTCAGGGAGAGCGACATCCAGTTTGCTCGCGCCCGCCAAAGCACTACGGCGCGACGCCCGGAAGTGACGCTTTGACCCATGCCACGCCTCCTAACTTCCGGCTACAGGCCTGTGCTCGCGCGTGCGCACGGGGCGCCCGCTTTGGGTTCTTGCACGCGAGTCTACACGAGGTGAGAGGGACATGGAGGACTCGACTTCGACTTCCGCCGCAACCGCAGCGTCGACTCCAGAGACCCAGGTCGCAGTGGAGCAGCTGGACAAAGGGCAGGTGAGTAGCCCCTGGGTAGGGAGGTTCGGAAACGGGTGGCCGTGGCCTTGTGAGGCGCGGGGTGCCGGAGGCAGGCTCCGCGCCTCGGTAGACACCGCCGCAACGGTAGGAGGGTCGCTCGTTCGCGTGCGCTCCACCTGCGGGCTCCTTCATACGCAGCGGTAGGCCGCCCGCTTTCCCCACCCCGGGCTCTCTTGTATTGGATTGCAGGCATAGGTTGGTGTTCTAGGGTCTGGTGCGTTTGGCTCTGCTTTCCTGCCGTTGTTGACTGTGGCCAAGTCGCTAAATTTTGCAAGCCTCAGTTACTTCGTATTTAAAATGGGCTCTGCTGCCTCTCAGGGGAGATAATGCCCATAAAGTGCTGTAGCCAGGGGCCTGGCCCATAGGACGCGCTCAGTAAAGGCTGGTTGCAGTGTGTGTTGCGCGCGCATTTGATGGGATTCCTGCCTTCATCGCCGGCAGGGAATGCTCCATCTGGCACAAAGTCTTACGTGGAAGAGATGCTTTTCTTCAGACTGAGTGCTATAAGCGGATACTTGGGTGGTTCTGATGGGTTCTTACATTCTTCTGTTTACAAATTCCAGGATCCTCATAACCATGGTTGTGGAGGTTGCCTATTAACAAAGAATTTGAGCAGAAAAAAAGGGGAAGAGTGGGGGGTGAGGGCAAATGCTAAATTAGATTTAATTTTTATTTGTGTACCTCCACTTTGCAGATCAAAAAGGCAGTGGAAGCTCTGTTGACCCATTCCAGGTCCAGGAAAAACGCGAATGGATTGCTTTTGAATGAGAATGAAAATTTCTTTTTAATGGTGGTATTATGGAAAATTCCAAGTAAAGAACTGAGGGTCAGATTGTAAGTTCTGGTTTTCTACCTTTGCCGTTTGTATCTGCTTGGTCAATTCTGTGTGACTTTAATAGTCGCATCTTAGTTTTTAATGGAAACTTCTCAAACTCAAAATAAAAATCTTGAGTCGAAACAGTAATTGTGTCTTAAAAAAAACCATATGACCTCAATGATGAGTTGCCATGCTAATACTGAGCCACCAGGTAGGGCAGTGTTGCCCTGCTTTGGGTGCCAGTGAGTTTAACAAAACTTCTCATATGGAGACCTGAGGGGCATGAAAAAAAAAAAAAAACCATACGAATTCAAACATAAAATTTTCTAGAAATTTCACAAGTTTCCTGGGGATTTGGTGGACAGTTAACTTAAGCAGTTCTGTTGAATCCGAAACCCAGGTTTTGAGAGAACAAAGGTTAGAATAAATTAAACAATTTTTGTATTTTCATAGAATCTGATGTCTTTCTGTGTCAAGTTAGTTCCAAGTTAAAATCCCTGAGGTACTGGACTCGCTCCTTTTTACAGAGACTTAAGAACTTGGCAGTGCACTCCTTAAAGAAAAGAAACCGGGGCGAAGACACATTCTTATTGCTAGGACTGTTAAGAGGTGCCCCCTCTGCAGAGTTTCCAGACTTAACAACAACAACAACAAAAGTAAATTCTGAGTATAAGTAGGTCCCATGTAATATTTGGGGCCTGTATCTGGTAATCCTGCCTCTCTGTTGAGCCCTTCATTTCCTGAGTGTCAAAAAGCCAGCTCTGCTAAAGAAAGCAGTGTGTAGGGTAGGGTAGCTGGTTTCTTTTCTCTTCCTTGTGGAGGGCGTGGGGTGGGGCAAGACGGATCACAAATTGAAGACCCTTTTGATTCCCAGACTCTCTATTAAGTAAGTCATGTTCAGAAACCTGCCCCAGCCACATTGCCTTAGTTTCTGCTTTATGTATCCTGCACGCATTCTTTATTCCACACCTTTGCTCGGGCAGTTTTTCCTTTCTGGAAAGCCCTCACTTTGTCTAGAATATTTTCCTGCTCACCTCTTGGTGATTTCTGCCACTTAACAGCTTCGCAGCGCTTCCCATCTCGTGTGCTACTGTGTATTGCTTTCTCTTCTTAAACTAAGGGACTGTTTCCTCAGGACATGCAGGCCCAGGAAATGCGTTAAACATTCTTTTTTCTAAGAGTCAATATAATAATTATTGCATGTTTGCTGGTCCCTCTTGGTTTGCTCCATGTTTTCTCTTTCAGCTCTTAACATCTATGTTGTTTATGGAGCCCAGACTTTTCTCCAAGGTCAAGTTCTGAGCCAGAAGTTTCCTGATGCAAGTTGATTTTTCTAGCACATTTTAATATGTGTGTGTATAGCAACTTATAAAATAATAGTTATATATGCACTATTTTGGGTGTCTTTGGTTGTTTTTTAACTCTTACTATAGCTCAAATATTAATTGCTATTTTGGCCTATGGGTATTTGTGGTGATTTTCTTCAACCTTAAGTCTCTTTTCTGTAGGGGGGAAAACCAGATACATTTTTTAATGTTCTCAGTATAGTATTTGCTTCAGTGGCATGAGTGAAGTTTATTGAAATGACAGTGAGCATATTGTATAGTCTGTGGAATATAAACATACATTCTGTCTGTAATAAGTTCCTTCTCATGTATTTTGCAGACCCTTGCCTCATAGTATTCGATCAGATTTGGCAGAGATCTGTTTATTTACTAAGGATGAACCCAATGTAACTCCCGAAAAGACGGAGCGTTTTTATAAGAGGCTTTTGAAGAAGCATGGAATTAAAACCATTTCTCAGGTAGGGAGCAGGCAATTAAAAGATTTGATTCAATTGAAGTGATAAGTATAATACATTGCTGTGTTACCTACTATTTCTCTCCTAGGAATTTAATTTTCTCTTTAATTCTCCTTGGCTTTAGGTAGCAGGTATTCTATCTTTTCCTATGATGGCCGAGCTGTCTAGGTTTGTTGACCCAAAAGCTCAGTGTGTGCATCGGTAACTTTTTTTAAGTGATTTAATTTTTTTATATAAATTTTTTATTGGGTAACAGCCATGGTCATTGGTTACACATTGCTTTCGTGCTACAGTGGCATAGTTGACTCTTTTTATTAAGGAGGGCGCAGCTCACAGTGGCCCATGCGGAGATCAAACCGGCAACTTTGGTGTTATCAGCACGATGCCCTAACCAGCTGAGCTAACCGGTCACCCCGCATCGGTAACTTTTATCTCTTGAAGATTTTCCAGCCAGTCCTTCCTGTAGCCCATTCCTCTGTTCTCCCAGGGCACCAATCCTGTGTTTGCCTCTGACTTGGCGCTTCTCACCCTGTGTTGTAGTTGGTGTCATTTCTTCAGCTTAGGTCCTATTACATTTGTCTCCATGTGCCCAGCATTCAGCATAGTGCCTGGCACATTTTAGGCACTCAACGTGTTCTCTAAACTGTGCTCCAGGACATTTAAATCTGAATATATGTTGTCGCCCAAGTCTTTTTTCTTGTCGTCGTTCAGGCTCTTAACTTTTTATGTTTTTACTCTGCCTTACGTTTTCTAGATTATCCCCTTCAGAACTTTAAAAAAGGAATACAAAGCTTATGAAGCCAAGCTCCGCCTCGTGGGTAGTTTCGACTTCTTCCTTACGGATGCAAGAATCAGGCGGCTCTTACCCTCCCACCTAGGGAGACATTTCTACAACAGGAAGAAGTAAGTTTCTGAGCAGTGACTGGGCTTGAGCAGCACGAAACTTACCGCTGTGTATGCGTTGTGCTCTGACTGCCTGCGTGTTGTCCTAGAGTTCCAGTCCCTGTGAACCTTCTGGCCAAGAACCTCTCCAGAGAGATCAACGAATCGATTGGCGGAACGGTCTTAAACGTCTCTAACAGTGGTTCATGCAGGTAGGTAAGAGGCAGAATGTGTCCCTGTGTTGAATATTTAATAACGATTTTATAAACTTTTTCTACAAAATAGTGTTAATGAAACCAGATCCTTCTGTGAAAGCTAAAATTCATTCCTTGGACATGTTCGGTCCACTAGGACTGTGCCGTCCCGTAGAAGTTTCCACAGGGGTGGAGATGGTCTATGTCCCAGCTGGCCCCTACAGGAGTCATTAGCCAGGGGCTGTTGAGCACTTGAAATGTGGCTACTGCAGCTGAGGAACTGAATTTCTCATTTTACTTGATTTTAGTTGAAATTTAAACAGGCACATGTGGCTGGTGGCCAATGGTTACCTTACAGGATAGGGCACCTCTAGATTAAGCATAGCAAGGAAATAAGATTCATGCTTAGAGAACAATAGGAGTTTGGGGCCTTCGTGTTGACTGGCATCATATTATCCTTTGACGTAAAGATCCACCTCAGCCTTGGTTTCAACATATTCAAGATTATCCCATAAAATACTTAGTCTGCTCATTGGGGCATCTGTGATGAGATGGATGGGCAGCTGTGATGAGATGGATGGACAGCAAAGCTGTAGGGAACCGCCCTTCCTCTCAAAGATACCCCAGGAGTCTGTGTGTACCAAGTGGTCACACACACCATAAAATGGGATCACCAAGGTGTCTTGACTACTCACCAGGGAGGCCAGCCCTTGGTAGTGTCTCCAGGTAGGGCAGAGCGAGGCTTGACTGGGCAAGACAGGTGGGCTCTGGGCTTGCCTCTGCCTGCAGGTGGGAAGCCCCTTAACTGGGTGTCAATGGGCAGCTGAGAAGAGATGGTTGTCAGGCCTGGACCCCAACTCTTTGGTTATAGGCTGGCATCAAAGTAGTGGCTCATGGGAAGCAATTAGAAGGTCAGAGGCCTGCTTCATGGGATGGGTGAGTAGCTGGGAGAGGGTGCAGCACCATGCAGCAGATAAAGGGATAGCAGGCTCCTCCCCCTGAGGTTTTTCCAAGCCAAACGCACAGCTTAAGGAACCTTGTGAACAACTCATTTTAAACAAATACAAAAACCTAAACCATTTCATATCCTTTCCCACCTTTCCACAACGCACCAGTTTTCTGTCTTCCTTCTCCCCCTCCTACCTTCCCTCTCTCCATCCGCCCTCTTTCCCTCCCTTCCCTTCTCTTCTCTCCTTCCCATATTGCAATTTTTCCATCTGGGAAGCCGAGGGTGTGCTTGAAGTAGGTGGCAAGGGCACACAGAGTGGGCAGAGCCTTGTCTCTGGCTAGAGGCAGGTGGGAGCACCAGCCCCTGTTTCATCCTGCTTCTGAGACACCTGCCTTTCGGCTCCCATGGCAGGGACAGTGGGGACAGGTGGACCCCGTGGCTGAGCGCTGGGCACTTCCGGGCTTCCTACTTGGCTTACGTCTGCACTCTGCTTCAGATGAAGGGATGTCTTGCTCTTGGCCAGAGGACCAGTACTGTAGGAGGAAGAAATATTTGCTTCAGACATGGCAGCTGGCTATAAGAAGGGCAGTGCCATTTTTTATAAAGACAGAAAGCAACCCTGTTGGGGGCCATTCCTTTCAGAACAGCCACTCCTGGGGGTGATTGTACTGAGAAAACCTTGTGGGCTACTGACCTGTGTTTCCTAGAATGAAGGTAGAACTCCCTCTGGCCTCCCAGCCTCACACAGTTAGGTACCAACTCCTCGATGTCCTCTTCCTGTTAGGGCATTTTAGGAGCAGGGCGTTTTCTAGAACATGAAAGATAATAATCTTCCTTTAAAGCATATTTAGAACCTATACAAATATTTTTTAGGGTTGTGTATTTATAGTTCTCACCTGCCTGTGCTTTATTTTGGAGCATTATTTTTAAAAGCCTTTTGTGTCTGAAACTTTGTTCAATTTCAGCACTATCCGCATCGGTCACACTGGAATGCAAGTTCAGCACATCGTCGAAAACATTGTTGCTGTCGTGAAAAAACTTGCACAGAAATTGCCGGAGGTATAGTCTTGCAGATGCATCAATTGATGGATCGCTTGAAAGGAACCAGACGTGTAGATTATATCGCTCTTTTTTGTCATTTCAGAAGTGGGAGAGCGTGAAACTCTTGTACGTGAAGACCGAGAGGTCGGTCGCCCTTCCCGTCTTTTCTTCATTTGTGAGCAGTCAGGATGAAGCCAACGGGGTGCGCACTCCTAGTCAGAAGAAAAAAGTGAGTGGAATTGTACCCACTGGGTAGACTTCAGGATGTAAATGCTGTCCCAGGAGAGCGAGTTACGTAGCCATTCCTGCCTGACTTTTATCTTTCAGTAGTTTTCCAGTGCTTTTGTGCTATTGTTCCCTTTTTACATATGAGATTACTCAATATTGGTATGAGTAAAGTACTGTACAATACAAATAACGTTTATGGATAAGTTAGGTGTTCTAATTTTTAATTTCCCGTAAAAGGGTTCACTAGGCTTAGAAGGGCCTATCCAGTGGCAAGCGGTGCTAAGAGAAAGGATCAAAATCTAGTTGATTAAGTACTTTTGTTATTTATGGGCAAAAGTTAAGGCTCTATTAGGCTAACAGATACCTCTTGGTATTCGGTGCTACCAGGTACTATTGCAAAAGAAGGCAGAATAAGAAAAAAAATGAATTTTTTGCTCTTTGTTGGGCCTACCTCCTGGTTTATCCATTCTTTCTTTAACCGTATTGTGTCCAATGGGCTTTTAATTTTGGTCTTTTATTTTCTTATTTCCAGAAGTTCCGTGTTTTGTTCTTTTTCAGATTGGCTTTACTTTTTGTTTTCTGATATGTATAAATAGTCTTCCAGTTCATCTGAATTCTTGAAGCATAAGAGCCATACATTTTTTATGGTTGTCTGATCATTCAAATAGAAGTCTTGGCGTTGCAGCCAGCCGTCTCTACCTGCTGGTCCCCTAAGTGTTTGGTTATCTCTGACTGTGTGACGGTCATGGCATTTGGAAAACTATTTGCAGAAATAATTTGAGGTGTAGGATGGAGGTCCTTTATCCGGGGGATTGGCATTTGCATTTGCCAGGCACCCTGGGGCATTCTCAGCCTGGATCACCTGAAAGCACATTCAAGGCTTGAGGGCCCCTGAATGACAGAGCAAACCATGGCGCCGCACTTGCACAACTCTGCTTCCTATTCATCTTGGTCCTAAAGGTAGAACTCACCGGGGTCCCAGCTTATCATGTGAGGGGATTCCTTTTGGAATTTCTACCCACTGTGGACGCTGGGATTTGATTTCCCTTCACCACCCCCACATATACACACACCCAGGTCCCATAGGGCTGTTAGAGGTTAGAGATTAGCCGATACTCTCTGGGCAGAAATGAATTCTCATTTTTAACACATTGAGGCCGGGGTATTTAAATTGTTTAAATGCGTGTTCCCGGGGTTTAAACCATTTAAATCAACTTTTATACTGTGTTTCTTTAAAAATGTATAATCAATTCGCTGTTTTTGTGAACCGAAATTTTCAGGAAATACTCACCAAAGACCCTAGTAGTGCTTGAGGGTGTGATACCTCTGGAAACATTCCCCCTTGTGGCGTGGCACTAAGGAGAACTTGCAGATGTACCGAGTTTCACTTCTTTTCTTGTGGGCAGCAACATGGCACCTCCTAACAGAATATTTTCCTTTACCCCATTCACTTCCAACAATTTTCTCTAGCACATGTTTGCACATATCACCCGAAGGTCTCCCACGGGGGTCCTCATGAGGCACATGCGGGGTTTGGGTTGATGTTCCTGGATGTGTTGCATCTGTGTCTGAGTCTGTCTCCACCTTATCTGTAGCCCAGTCTTTTGCCACTTGTAGCAGAAATTCTTTGTATCTCATTTTTTATGTAGGGTTTAGTTTTTGATAGTTTCGAAAAGGATTGAAAAGTGCACAATTTATAAGCCAAAAGTGCAACTTTCTTTGGCCACTTCCCTGTTTTTCTCAGGAGAGAATAATAAGACAAGTACTGATCTGCCTTATCAACACCCTTCATGAATATATTATACTGAAAAATACAAATAGCTTTTTTCTTTA